ATGGATGGATAGATGAGTGGATGGATGGATCAACCTTAAAGTGATAGGAGAAATCTAGGGAAAATGGGCTAGCTGAGTGTTCATTTGCTCAACACCCACAGCACTGCCCTAGTTTAGAAGTAGACTAAAGCCTTCAGAGCTCCAGAAGTAAGAGGCCTGTGTCTCTCTTATCCACACAAACCTCCACAGACAAAAGCAACCTAGAAGACCCCCCCCCCAATTAGCCACCTCTGTCCCACCTGCAACATGGGGGTATTTGAGCATGAGCAGGAAGCCATAGCGGAGTGTGGTGCTGCTGGTCTCGGTGCCAGCAAAGAAGAGAGACAGCACGGAGAGCATGAGGTTCTCATGATGGAACTCCGTATCTTTGTTGGACTTCTCCTGGTTCCAGATGGGAGGGAGAAGGGAGGGTCAGGGGTGACTGGGTCCTTACAGGAAGATGCTCACACATCCTGAGAACTGACCTTCTGTCTCACACTGTATGGACCACACGGCATTTCTCAGTCCTGACAATGTCGCTGGCTCTCTGTTCTGTCTTCTCTCTCATCTTTGCTCTCTGGTAGTTTTTTGTGTTTTGTCTCCCAGGCTCTCTCTTCCTCTGAGGTCTTTTCTGCTTTTTGCCCCCTGCCCTGTGTTTCTTCCACAGCCTTCTTCCTCCATATTTCATTTTCTCCTCCCTTTCTCTAGTCTTCAATTCTAGATTCTTCTGCATCTCCTCCACTCCACTTCCTATCTCTCCTCCCCATCCTCTGCCCCCCTTTTCCTCTGCTCACATCCCCAGCCTTCACTCTCACCCATCACTTCTCTCATTCATGCAGGACTTACCTTCTCCATGCGTAGAAGGTAGGTATCGATGAAGTCCCTTGGATTGCTGGGGTCCAAGGTTGCCCTGTGCTTCTCCACACTCTGGCCAATGAAGTCAAGGATTTCCTGCAGGTTTTTGGAGATTTGTCTGTGGGTACCGGGAAAGTACTTCAGGAAGCCAGAGAAGAGCTCAAACATCTGCAGGAAAGAAGGTCAGGAGGTCACCTGGAGCTATCAGGACTCTAGAACGTGTGTTCCTAGGTCCCCATATTTCACAAGGATCTGCCCTCTCTCCTTCCATCCTTTCGCCTCCCCTCCCCCACTCCTTTGCTCATCTTCTCTTTCCTTCATTTCCCCTCTCATGCACACACACACACAGCATGCTCTCAGCCTGTTTCTCTGAGTCTTTCTCCAGCACTTGTATTGTATTCTCTCTCACTCTTTCCTAAGCCGTCATTTTGTTTTTGTTTTTGTCAATCAGGGTCTCATGTCTTTCAGACTCTCCTCAAACTCAATATTTATCCAAAGATGGCCTTGAACTCTGATCTCCCATGTAATGGAATTGCACATATGTACCGCCAAACCTGGCTTAATTTGTGCTAGGGATGAACCCCAGGATTCACACGTGATAGACAAATCCTCTACCCTCTTAGCTACAGCCACACCCCCCATGTTATCATTTTCTCATGTCTGGGTGACTCGGTATTTCTGCATTAGGGTTTCTCCACCCTACTTAACATCTGATCCCCATCCTCGCCCTTCAGGCTTCAGGCTCCTTGTCTCTCCATGTTGTCTCTGCCTTTTTTCCAGCCCTGAGACACTCCCTTCTTCACCCACAGAGAAGCTTCTTCTTTCCTCTGCCCTGGATGCTCCTCTCTTCCCATCCACTGACCTGGCTGGAGAATGAGCTGATGAGAGAGAAGGACCTATAGAACAGGTCCAGCAGGCGCAGGAACTGGCGGTCTTTGTAGTCAAAGCGCTCTCCAAAGACAATGGAGCAGATGATGTTGGCTGTGATGCACTGGAAGAGGAAGGTGGGGTCCAGGGGGGCTCCTGGAGGAGGAAGATGTATTTCAGGAGACATAGCATCAAGACATGGCACCAGGGGAACATTTGGTGTTGGTCTCCATCTCTGTAAACCTGTCCCCACCACTCACTACTCAATACCAACAGCTGCTACCCCATTTGGACATACAGCACCAGGCCCTGCACTCAGGATTGCATACACCATTTTATTTAATTTCTTATCAAAATTATACATAAGATGCAATGCTATTAGCATACACAGAGATGGGCACTAACTTCACCAAGGTAACACAGCTCCTCATGACTGGGACCAGGATCAGACCCAGGAGCTGAGAAGCAGAGCATGTGTAACGTAGTCTCCACCGTGCACCTCCTCCCAGGACAACATTCTGACTCTGAGCCCACAGCTGACTCCCACTGGCAGGAATGGTTCAGAGAACGGTGTGGGGGTTGCCTGTGTGGATTTAGAAGTCTCTCCTTTGAATCATCCTCCATTCCTTTTATTCTAGGCTCTGTGGTGTTCCAAGAACCATCAACACCCAGTGCCTGCTGCCTTTAGTTCCTGGTTCCTTCATGGGCCCTCATGGTGGGAGGGATGTTGTCAGCCCAGCAATATTAGGCTGTTGTTACCCCTTTCTCTGGGTCTCACCTGTCTGTTGTCTCTGATTCTATGGTGATATTTTATTTGTGCTGAAATGTGATTTTATTTGTATGTTAATAAATAAAGTTGCCTGGGGGTCAGAGCTAATAGCAAGCCATCTAGCAGAAGTCTGGCAGTGGTAGCACATGCCCTTAATCCCGATCACATGACAGGCCGATCTCTGTGTGTCTTTAATCTCAATACCAACCATAGAGACCTGGAGGTCTGTATAGACAGGAAGTGACCAGGAGAATTTGAATTTATGATCCTCCTGTCTCAGTACCCTAAGTATTGGGAGGACAGGCTTGCGCCATCACACCAGATGACACATATTCTTAACCCAGGCATCAATTTCCCTGAACGTAAGTAGGCTGCATGCAATTCTCTCAATCTATGTCTCTGAGCCATTCTTGGACACTGTGAACTTCACATCTCTTTCCCTGTCTTTCTGTATTTCTCTCTCCCCCTACCTCATTCTCCATCCTCTCCCTAGTGTGTGTGTGTGTGTATGTGTGTGTATGCCTCTGTGTGTCTCTCTGTGTATGTATGTCTCTGTGTGTGTCTATGTATGTGTGTCTCTGTATGTGTGTCTCTGTATGTGTGTTTGTGTATATCTGTGTGTGTATGTGTTTATGTGTGTGTGTGTGTGTGTGTGTGTGTGTGTGTTTCTTTCTCTGCCCATGGGTGTCTCTTCTCTTTCTCTGACTGTGCACTCAGGTCTCTGCATCACCATCTTCCTTTATGCCCATTCTCCAGGACTCACCCTGGGATTTCCGGAGCTCCTCAACCAGGCATTGGGCCTCCTCCTGAATCCGCTCTTCCACACTCCGCTTGCCCATCCCAAAGTCTCTCATGGTGGCCAGAGAGAATCGCCGAAGGGTCTTCCAGCGTTCCCCATTGGCAAAGACCACACCTAAGAAAGCAGGGGGAGCATGGGGGAGTTATAGAGGAAGTTCAAAGAAACCTGGGTCCTTCCCCACCCCATGTCCTCCCTTCCATCAGATTCTCCTCTCTCTGGACCCATTCTCCAGCCCACCTCAACCCAAACTTTGAGACTCCTACCATAGTCCTTGAAGACTGGTCTAACCACAGCAATTGTCCCTCGGCCAGAGAAAGCCTCAGCTTGGTCCACCAGCGCCTCCCTTATGGCCTCTGTGCCATACAGCATGACCACGGGCCTCGGTCCCAGGTGCATTGTGAACACATCTCCATATTTTTCTCGAAGCTGCCAAGCATAAGGACACCAGGATTGTTGTTAGTCAGTGCAGATATTGTTGGTACCCTGTGAAAACACTTAGACACAGAGTGATACAGAGGAAGACCTCCCCTGGCCACCTTTCTGAGGACCTAGCAATTTCAGGGTCAATCCACCACCATGGAAGTCTGCATGGATGCTGGATGATCTGATCAGTACTGCATTACAATATGGCTGTAGGTGTGGGACTCATGCTTTATCTCAGCACTGGGGAAATAAATGAGGTGGATCAGAAGTTCAAGATCATCTCTTGCTGCTGTTGAGCTGGAGGCCAGCCTGGGGCTACATGAGACCTTGTCTGAAAAGAATTAACAAGATATATATATATATCTTACAGGAAAACAGAGTGATGAGTTAACGCTACAAAGGATTCAGCAGTAAACTTGCTTAGGAAATACTAAGCTGCACAAGGTAGGGTTTAGCTAAGGCAGTGCTGCCTCTCATATGACTGGTTGATAAGTAGTAAGACAGCCAGACTTGTTAGAAACTGTGGGAAAAATATTGTACCTTGAACATAATTGTAGTTTAGGCTTCTGAGAATATATTTCTACTAACATTTGTTTGTTAAGTTAGTTGTGAATTAGGCTCCATTCCCATATTAAGAACATGGCTCTAATGGGCAGTTCAGAGGGGATAGCACTGGCTAACAATGATCATTAAATCCCATTTCTCTTATAAGGAAGGTGTAATTCTGCCAGGAGGGTAGGAGAGTACCGGTGTGGTGATTTGAATAAGAATGGCCCTCTATAAGTTCATGTATTTGAATGCTCAGTCACCAGGTTGAAAAGATTAGGATTGGTAGATGTGGCCTGGTTGGAGGAAGTGTGTCACTGAGGATGGGCTTTGAGGTTTCAAAAGCCCCTGCTCAT